TTAGAAGAAGAAGAAGAGATTGGATTTATACCCCGCCTTTCACCTGGAGTCTCAGAGCGGCTTACAAACTCCTTTCCCTTCCCCTCCCCACAACAGACACCCTGTGAGGTGGGGGGGGCTCTTTTTCAAGGACAGCTGTGCCAGAACTAAGGCTTGCCCAAGGTCATCCAGCCAGGTGCAAGTGGAGGAGTGGGGAATCAAACCCGGTTCTCCCAGATTAGAGTCCGCACACTTAACCACTACACCAAACTGGTAGGAGATCCATGACTTCTTCTTATCCAGTTTGAGCATAGTAATAATCTGGCAGCCTGAATAGCCCAGTCTCATCAGAGCCTGGAAGGTAAGCAGGGTTGGCCATGGATAGTATTTAGATGGGAGACTGCCAAGGAAGTCCAGGGTTGCAATGCAGGGGAAGGCAATGGCAAATCACCTCTGCTCATCTCATGCCTTGAAAACCCCATGGTCCCGGGGTCACCGTGAGCACAGTTATCATTAATAGCAATTTACCTGTGTGTTTTGAGCATGTTCAAATGTTGACTTTTTCTGTATTTTTTTAAAGCATGGATGGAAGAGGTAAACATCTATAAGCAGAATATCTTTTTTGCCAAACAGTATTTCGGTCATCAGCAATGGATAGCAAGTGTTTCTAAAAACGCATCTGTTCATGTACTTTGGGAAAAGCATGTCTGCCAGATTTCCTACGTACTCCCCATCACTGTCTCCACTTGTATAAACCAGCTTTGGCAGCCAGTGGACAGTATGGTAGTCTTGGGGAGACCTGGATTCATATCCAGGGTCAATCATAGACTTGCAGCATGGCTTTAGTCTCCTATTTGAAGATTAGGAACTCTGCTTTCTCTCTCTGGGTTTTTAAGTTGGAAGATTAAAAATTGCCCACATTTTTGATTGGCCAAACCTTGAGAATAACGCTGCAGAACTCACTAGAGACATTTTGGTGCCTATGGTGGGAAGCCAGATGCCCCTCTCTCCAAACACACACATACACACACACACACACACACAGTGAAATACAACACAAAATGTTTTTGTCTTTCGCACACCTCCCTGAAATGCCTGGGAGAGCTCCTGTTCGTCTAGTCAAGGGTTTGGGTTAGGCTGGAGAGCATTCTGGTGGCTGCCTTCCACAGTGGAAAGTACCATGAAGTTGCAGCTGACGTATGGTGGCCCCTTTAGAGTTTTCAAGGAAAGCAACTCTGAGCTTCTGTGCTGGTCTCCCATCCAAGTACTAACCAGGGCCAACCCTGCTTAGCTTCCAAAATCTGACAAGATCAGGCTAGTCTGAGCCATCCAGGGTCAGGTTCTGTCATGCAGAAGGGCCCCTAAAAATCCCTTATTTCTGATCCGGTTGCTTCTGTAAACCCTGCTGCTTGTCTCTGAAAACTCCCAGCTTCCTTGTATTGCTGAGGATTTCTGCAATTCACATGAATGCTTATTTGAAGAAAAGAAAAAAGTAGGCCTCCTTTGAGACTTGAATGCAAAAAATGTGTTGTCCTAAAATGACTCTTAGGGATTTTTTACTCATTACCAAAAATAAAAATAAGCCATGACATCTTTGGCTGAAGCTGTGTGCGCCAAAGGAGGATGGAGGGGAAGAGTTACTTGCCCCTTTCCTTAGCAGTGTGTCCCAATCTCTACTGGCCCTCCCTGTAACTGTTTTGGAGGAGTCACAATTACAAAAGTCCAGTGCCACATGCATTTATTTAAGGCACTTGTACCGATGTGAAGTTTCTATGAGGAGGCAGAGAACATGAGAAAACAATACACAGCAGCAGAGAACCCGGCTGTTCTAGAATGCTGGCATCGCCGACCAGCGTCGCATTTGTCTTGTCTGGATTTGGTTTCAGCTTGTTCAGAGCACAGTGGGGGCTCACCAGCTTGAAAAACTGTGCTGCTCACCAGTGGTGAACTGGCAAGCACGGTTTTCAATCCCGGACTGCTCGCTTTCTTCTCTCCCGCCACAACCATGTGACCTACCAAGCTGCCTTGAGCTCCATAACCTTATATCTTATTAATACCCCCCACCCTGTTCCAGCTCCTCTTGCAGCCCACAAAAATCCATTTAGCTTGATCCCCATCTTTGGAAGTATATATACTGGTTCTGGCCAGTGAGAACACTCTTGGCTCTTAGCCTGTGACTCGTGGACTTAGAAAACTGGATTACTGGATTCTAGATTAGCCCCAAGATAAGGTTTGTTCTTGTTGGCTTTTTTTCCCTGGATTTTTAAATTGTATTTCTTTTATTGTGTTTGATTTGCATCCTGTTAGGGAGACCAGGAGCCACAATATATATTCTGACTTTCATCTGTTCACAGTGGTCACCACAGGGAACCTGCTAGACCTGGAGAACGTCGCCAGAACTCCTTTGACTGTGAACACAAACTCTTTGCCTTCAGACGACGGCATCTTCCATGTGCCTTCATCAGAAAACAACAACATAGTGTGGGTATGTGCGTGCTGGACACATCTCTCTCTTGCCAAATGCCTCATTTAGTCAGTTGCTGGTGAGCTGCTGGGCCCAATTCCATATGGTTGTTTCTCACTTGCACCTGGCTGGACGACCTTGGGCAAGCCGTAGTTCTGATAAGAGCTGTTCTTGAAAAAGAGCAGTTTCTGTCAAGAGCTCTCTCAGCCCCTCCTACCTCACAGGGTATCTGTTGTGGGGAGGGGAAGGGAAAGGAGTTTGTAAGCCGCTCTGAGACACCTTTGGGTAGTGAAGGGCGGGGTATAAATCCAATCTCTTCTCCTCCTCCTCCACTTGATGTTGAAGTGGGACATAAGTTGTGGTGGTTTTGAGCACTTTGCTCCTTTGTTATACCAACCCCTGTGTGGTGATTGGCTTGCAGCCTGCCATGTCCTGAAAACCCTGGGAGAGGTAGCGATGCTTTAGCCTCTTCGAGTCCCACTAAGCTGGAAAAAAGTGAGATACAGACATTTTAAATATGTTTGAATATTTTCAATACAAGGTGGCTTTCCACTTAAAATTCTGGTTAGTACTGCAACTCGAGGTTACCCAGATCTTTCAGCCACTCAGTTGCCTCGATCCAAGCAACCAGATGAAGGTATTAAAAGGACTTGAAAGTTTTAAAAGATATATGAAAAAAGAATAGCCATAAGTACTTTGATGTGCCTTCTGTCACGGGCTGGGCTGAGAGGCAGGAGGCAGGTCCAGTCTGAGGTCGTCGCCAGGAGAGTCAGAGCGAGAGCCAAATTGTGAGTCCAAAAGAGAGGTCATCTGAAGCAAAGGTCAGGAGGCCAGGAACCCAAGTGGGGGTCTGAGAGCAGGAACCCGTCGACAGACCTCTCAGGAGCCGATGTACGGGGCAATGTCGGTGCGGACTCAGGGCCACCAGAACTCCCATGTCAACAGATGGGTGTGTCTTGTGCTGGCTAAGTCTCTGCGGAGCTGCTCCCTCAGCCGAACCACCCGTGGAGGTGAGTCAGGTGGGCTTCCCGGTTGCACCTGTACCTCATCAACTGCTGCAGGACCAGGTGCGGGGTTTACAGGATCAGGCGCTGGCAGCGGCAAGCTATCAATTCCTGAGGAGTCAGAGGGGCTGGCTTCTGGCTCCGGCAATGCCGGCACCTCTGGCTGTGGTGCCAACTCAGGTGGGAACTCAGTGCAGTCGCCGCCGCCCATGACAGCTTCCTGAAGTGGGTGCATGCATTTGAATAGATTTACTTATTTATATTCTCCTTTTCTCACAGCAAGGTGTGAGGTAAGTTAGGCTGAGAGAATGTGAGTGGTGCAAGGTCACTCAGCCAGTTTCCAAGGTAGAGTGTGGATTCAGACGCTGATTTCCTAGGATCCTAGACAGGCACTCCAGCCACTTTGCCATGCCAGCTGGGTGGGAATGTTCCACAGGTGTGATCAGCCACAAAGAGCACTTTACTGTGGTCTTTGGGCATGTTTCATGGAGGGTGCTCTTGTCTAACTTTGGAAACTCGTTTGGTGCTCACTTCCCCGTTTCCTGTTCCTTGGAAGTGCTGAAAAACATTTCCAAATTTCTCAGTTAGGTTTTAAATCCAGTTAGGAAGCAAGTGCTCTTCCTGGTTGGCAGCTTTCAAATTTCCTTCCTAACAAGAGAAACCAAATTACCTGCTGAGGATTCCCCTGTATGTTGCAAGGGATTCTGGGGAATGTTTTAGGCATATCCTAAACTCATGCTGGTGGCTGGCCAAGCCTGTTGGTTTTTCCCCATTGCCTTGCAACATACCCACCACTCCTGGCACATTGGAGAGGAATGTTGGCAGCTGCCAGCTGTTTTTTTGAGGAAACTTTATGCTGGTATATATCTCAGGAGATGCCAAAAAAACTTCTGAGTCACTCCAAGGTCCCCAGGAGTCTGTTTTGCAAGCTCAGGGTCTCTCTTTGTTATTAATGCAAACTACCCATTTAGTGCTTGTGTGCCAGCTGCATAGCTCTCATTCATTGCCTCTTGGTTTCCCTCCCCCTTCCCCTTCCCCTCCCCCTTCTTTTCTTCTAAAGGCAATGGACGATGGACTGGATGAAGCCTTTTCAAGGTAATTATGCTCATTTGTTTCATGAGTTCCTTCCCGCTAGAGGCCTGCCCAGGAAACCTGAGTTGATTAGTGACGGTGTTTGTTGTGTGTGTGTGTGTGTGTTAAGGAAAAATTACTTCTAATCTAAATCAGTTGCTGCAGCCTGACCCTGTCAGCACTGCTCTGTTTGGCTAATTGAACGATGGGATTTGCAGCTGCCCCAAAGAAGTCAAATATTTTGATAACTTCTTAGGGCAGAGTCTAATTTGTATGTATGGTGGGGAGTTAAACTCCCTAAAGGAGGCAGGCTGGCTGAAAATGTCGCCTCGGTGTAATTGCAGGTAGCAGTCGAGTGTGTAGAAGCAAGCCATGTGTGTGGCAGTGCCCAGGTGTAGATGGAAGGAATGCCATTTTGTGCTGTGCTTGAATCACCTGGTGCATTTTAGAATAAAATGCAATAGTAGCACCTTAGAGACCATGAAAATTTCCCAGGGTATAAGGTGTCATGAGACAAAGCTCGCTTCATCAGATCAGTGTCTTGGCATCTGATGAAGTGAACTTGGATTGATGGAAGCTGGTAAGGTTTTGGTGGTCTTTAGGGTGCTGCTGGGTTCAAATTTGATGCTATTACCACAGACTTAGCACCCCAAACTCCTCTTACATTTTCATCCCCCCACCTGCAGGGGGAGGCATTTTGCAGAAAATTCAAGGAGCAATCACACACTCCGCCTGCCATCACACACACTAAATAATTGTCAGGATCCTGGTTAAATCACTTCTCAACACCGGTCACTTCGAAGAAAGCTAACTTTATTGAGACTTTGATAGATACCATCCTGGACACGAGCTATTGTTAGGACTGAAGTTGAACGCGCGAAGGTTACAGATATAGTGTGTTCAAGTAAAGGCACTAGAGATCAGGACCCAACCACCCCATGGTGTTTGCCTACCAGAATTAACAGTCAGCTACCCCCCCCCACTAAGCACGTGTCTCTCCCAGAGCATCCCTCCCACCAAACTAGCAGTTGCCTTCCCCCCCCCCCGACACGTAGCCTCTACATAGCAAGAAAAACACTTCGATGAGTGGGAGGGGGTAGGCATTGGACACAGACACTGCGTTTAAGCCCCAGTAGTCTGTGCACAGCTGCAGCCCACCATCCTTCTTCTTCCGGAAAAGGACAGGGGCAGCAAAGGGGCAAGAGGCCGGGCGGATGAAACCTCGAGCAAGGTTCTTATCTATAAACCTGCGTAGCTCCTCTTTCTCAGCTGGGCTCAATGTGTACAACTTCCCTTTGGGCATTTTGTGCCCTGGCAAAATTTCTATGACACAGTCCGACTTTCGGGGGGGGGGGGGGGCCCCGGGGGGGGGAGCCCGTCTGCCTCCTCTTCTTCAAACACTCTAGCCAAGTCTTTGTACTCAGGCGGGATGAGATCGAGCTCTCCCTGCACCAAGCAAACACACTCCGGAACGGGAGCTGGCGTCCCCCCCGCCTCGGGATTCCACACATGAGCTTTGCATTTGGGGGTCTGGGAAGTGCAGGGTCATGATCTCGGAGCCAGGGGTTGCCTAGCACCATCGAGAATTTTGCAGCAGGGGTAATAATGAATGGGCGTTGCTCCCATTGGGACCCCATCCCCATCACCACTGGCACAGTTTGATATTTGCACGCCTCCTTCATTGGGGACCCATCCATCTGGGTGAAAATTATAGGTTCTGACAATTCTTGGACAGGTACCCCTAGGCTGGTGACTAATGCTGGGCTGATTAAGTCTCGGGCACACCCAGAATCAACCAAGGCTCTCACCCATATCTGGGTGCCCTGCTCAGGGTTTATTACAGTCACCATCACATAGAACAAAGGGGGAGAGGTTCTCGCCAAACCTGGCGCGTGGGACTTTCAGACCTGCCAGGTTGTGCCCTTCAAAGCAGGTCCCAATCTTTTCCTGCCGGCGCGTTGAGCTCGTCTCCACTGGAACAGGTGCTGTCAGACTCTCCCCACTCTCCCGCTTGAAGCGCTTTGAGTTGTTTCATCTGCGCCCCTCACAGCTTGGGTTTTCTCTCGGAGGTCTTGCGCTTGCTCACCTTCCCATCTCCGGGGTTCTTGTTGAGAGGGCAACTAGCCGCAAAGTGCCCCGAAGCTCCACATCTTAGGCACAGACCCTGTCGCATCCGTTGGTCTCTGACGGTCTCTCTCGCCTTGGTCTTCATCCCCCGTGGTTCTGCCACCACTGCCGCCCTCACAGGAGCTCGGGGCTGGTACATTCGCAAGAGGTTGGAGCGGTTTTCCGCCTCACAGGCCACCTGTATCCACCCATTCAGTGTTAAAGGGTTGCCCTGGGCCAGGGCCAAATCCAGAATGAAGTGGTTCAGCCTGGCCCGGTAGAACTTGATGAGGACCTCTTCGGGCTATCCCTGGAGCTTTGCGGCATGTGTCTTGAACTTGTCCAAGTACTCCCGTACCGAGCACTCTCCCTGGCGCAAGCCCCTCAGATGCGTGCGCGCTCTCTCCAGCTCCAGGGGTCCTCATATTGGCGGCAGAGTGCCCACATGAAGGCATTCACATCTCGGAGTTCTGGGCCCTGGACATTGTGGAGTCCCACGAACCAGTCGGCCGCCCGGTCTTGGAGGCGCGACCCAATAAAATCCACAGGGTGCTCATCTGTGGCGTAAGTGGGGGCCCAATTGCGTAAGAACTTGTGCACCTGCAGCAGGAAAAATGCCAGCTTCTCCGGGGTGCCATTGAATGTAGCTTCCGGGGCATTGTGCGGCCACTCCAGAGCTGCTGGGGTTGCAGGCGGCACAATCGGCCCGGCCGGGCCAGTAGGGAGTGCTGGGGGAGGAGGCGGGGGTACCTGCAGGGGTGCTGGCGGCGCCCTCCTAGCTCCATCCTGGGTCCGTTCACGATTCCGGAACTCTTGCTGGATGACATCCATAATGATGCCCAGTAATTCTAGCGTCATGTTTTGCATCTCTTGCCTGATTGCTTCAGCCTCATCTCTGAACTCTCTGCAGAGACACTCAACTTCAGTGCCCTCCACAGTATGGATGTGTTCCGGGTCCTCCTGGGACGAGTGTCCGTAGTGGCTTCGGGTGCCATCATACGCAAATCTCTCGACTCTCAGGTCCGGAGTCACCATCCAGGTGGGCTCAGCCCAAGTGGGGAGCGGCGCCCAGGAGTCTCGGGTCCACGCCCCACTTTCTGCTCCTTTTGACTCCGCTGTTGCCCCCGGGACCGCCATGGTCCCTTGCTCAGGCATGGCACCATCTGCTGCAGTTATAGGAACTTCTCCGTCCTCTCCGCTCATCACGGTTGTGGTGCAGAAGGTTGAGAAGGGAAAAGGGACGTCCTAGCGATTTGCCAGGATCCTAGTTAAATCAGTTCTCAGCACCAATCACTTCGAAGAAAGCTAACTTTATTGAGATTTTGATAGATACCATCCTGGACACGAGCTATTGTTAGGACTGAAGTTGAACAGGTTACAGATGTAGTGTGTTCAAGTAAAGGCACTAAAGATCAGGACCCAACCACCCCATGGTATTTGCCCTCCAGAATTAACAGTCAACTGCCCCCCCACTAAGCACGTGCCTCTCCCAGAGCATCCCTCCCGCCAAACTAACAGTTGCCTACCCCCCACCCCCAGACACGTAGCCTCTACATAGCAAGAAAAACAGAATAACAGACATTTGAGAAGCCAGGGCATTTGGCCCCACTAAGGTGACAAGCCCCTGGCACATCAAAGAGAGAGGAGCCTCCTCTCTCAATGGCAGGTGAGCTGTAAGATACATAGGGAGCCTGACAATAATCCATTTTCAGTCCACTCTCAATGCACTTTCCAACTGGATTTTGCCAGTTCATACAGTAAAAATCCAGTTGGAAAGTACACTGAAAGTGGATTGAAAGTGGATTAAAAGTGGACCTAAGAACATAAGAGAAGCCAGTGTGGGATCAGGCCAATGGCCCATCCAGTCCAACACTCTGTCACACAGTGGCCAAAAATACCAGGTGCCATCAGGAGGTCCGGCAGTGTGACCGCAGCCTCCCTGAGAAAGAAGTGATGGCAATGAGACCTCTTCCTGCTTTCTTAAGGGGTCAGGTGGTACACGGCTGAGAGAGTACCAACTTGTCCGAAGTTTGCCCCTTGCCCCCCAACTCTTCCTACTGTCTGGGCCCTCATCACTCTGCAGTGCATGCTCAAGCTTGGTAAGAAAGGCATCACTGAGCTTGCCTTCTTATCAAGTCAAGCGAAGGCAAGGAGTATCCCAAAGCAAGGGTTGATGGGAGAACAGGGTATAGCAACTGAGAGAAAGCCATTAGTAAACCAGAGTCCATTTCTCGTTGGATGCCATTCCCTGCTGCGAACACTGGCTTTCTATAAGCATGTGAGGTGATGTACTTGGCAAGGTAAGGCTGTTCCAGTAGTGAGTCTCTTGTGAGCAGTATTCTCTCTAAGCTGAGTTTGTGTCTCTCCAGCTCAGAGATTTTTGTCTTAGCTCAGGAGGGATGGCTCCAGAGCAAACGGATCAATGCAGTAGGCAAATGCTCGCTCACTGCATTAAGGCCAGTAGCTCACAAAGTAGGATTTTTGCTCACGAGACTCCACAGCTTAGAGGGAGCCTTGCTTGTGAGTTGATTATGGCACCTTGACTAAACTGTGAGAGGCAGTGTGTAGCAGTGGTTAGGGCATCAGACTAGATCTGGAAAGACCTGGGGTTCCAGTCCTGTTTAATGAAGCTCACTAGGTGATCCTGGGCTGGTTGCAAATTCTCAGCCTAACTTACTTCACAAGGGGGGGAGGAGTTGTGAAGAGAAAATGGAGGAGGGGAGAATATGTATGCTGTCCTGATCACCATGGAAGAAAGGAGGGATTCACGTCTATAAGCCAAGGAGGTGGACCTTGGCCTCTATGCCCTGCTAGGTGATCCTCCAGGGCAGCTGGTTGGCCACTGTGTGACTAAGTGAACCACTGATCTCGTCCAGCAGGACTCTATGTTCCTATGTAATATAGAATAGTAGGGCTGC